CCCCCGCCGCTCAGTCCGGCCACCGGTCTCCGGGCCCCTCCGGCGCCTCCTTTTGTTTGTCCCTCACTGCACCACTCAGTCTCCTCCGCCCCGGAAGTGACGTCACCCAAGGCGCGAACGCGGCGGCCAGGGCGTCGCCATCTTTTTAAGGGGTGCCGTGTCCGCGCCCTCACCCACCTCCTCTCCCCGCCGACGCCATGTTGTTTGGGGGCGGAAGTAGCGGAGCCCCGGCTCGGCCCCTTTAAAGGGACAGGGACGGTCTAACCTTCGCGGAGTCCTTGGTGACAGCGGGAAGCGGCGGGCGCAGAGGTGAGTAGCTGATCTTGCTGAGCATTGCTGCCCCGACGTAAGTGCCGAGGCCGGAGGGTGTGGTAACCGGTGCCGAGCTGGATGGTGCCAAAGTGCTCGCCGCACTTGGTGCTGCTGTAATAGCAGATCGGCTGCCGCAAGGTTCCCCCGCCGGGAGCCGCCGGCGGGAATGAACCGCGCGCGCTTCTCGCTGCCCCGCACTCTGGTCCTGCCGCACCACATCCCCTCCCCACCCCGGGGTAGTACGGGTGTGGAAGGTCGAGCAGAGCCGGTGCTGGAACCGGGTCCGGACCCCAGCTCTGCAGCTCTGGATCGCGAGTCCTCGCAGTTCCCAGCCGAATACGAGTAACGGTGACCACGTTAAACAATAATCCATACGGTGGCGTACTGTGCAGCTACTGAAATGAAAACTGTTCAGTACGCACGAATGCAGGACGACTTCCAAGATACTTTAGATTAAAAAAAAAAAAAAGGAGCAAAAAGTAGAACAGCGTTGGTCGGCGTGTGTGGGGTTAGGTGTCTGCGAGTGTGTGCATCGCCCCTCCGCTAAGATGCACAGGGAGCGAGCTGTGGTGGCCCCGGGCAGAAGGGGGACCCTGGGTACCCGGGAAGGGGGAAGAAGTTACGATCACGTGCACAGGTTGGTTATTTAAACAGGAGGATGGTGACGGTGATAACAGCTCCTCTCTCGGGCGCTGAGCCAGCGCCTGGTCTCAGCTCTCCTGCTGGGAGGACTGACCGTTCCCTGTTATTAGGGGCGGAAACTGGCCGGGAGAGGTTGGATCTTAGCAGTATCATAGCCAGCGAGGGAGGAGCGGGAATGTGAGCCCTGGAGGATTTTACACTAATACCTCTTAGGTCGCTGGAGGAGGAACGCAGGAGACCAGAATGGCGAGGGATTAGGAATTTATTCGATCCATGCACACCAGGTGGCTGAGCCTGGATGGCTCCAGCGCCCAGTGAGGGCGTCAGCGGCTTTTAAAGACTTTTGGTGGGCTCCTTCTGGGCGGAGACCCGGAGGGAAGAGGATAGAATGTGGTCTCAGCAAAGGGGATGCCCACAGTGAAATGGCCTGAAAAGCCAGATCCCAGGGGAGGGGTGTCGATTCAATTATTTGATCAGACCTAACAATGCCCACATTTCTGGCCTATCCACTCCCTAGAGAAGCTTTTTTGTTATCAACCATACAAGGCGGGCCTGTGGCCAGCACACAGCAGGTGCCCATTACCTGTCATTGGCTGCTTACTGAGTGAACAAGTGGAACAAACAGGATGAAGACAGGCAAACATTGGAGGCCAGATTCCAGACTGGAGTCCAAGGCTGGCCCCTTCCCAGCCTCAGCACAGTGGCCCTGACCCCCACGTCCCCACCTATAAAAATGAAAACCAGGGCCACAGTGGCTGACACAATGCTCCCACCTGCCCTGCTTTGTGCTTTACATGCAGATGAGCCCCATTTCACAGAGAAGAGCAGAGGAAGGTGCCCCCACAGGGTCCCCACAAGGCCTCACTAGTGCAGTGACAGAACCCCAGCAGTTCGCCTCTGTGATGGGTGCTGCAGTGGCTCCGTCCCTGGTGGAGTCCAAGAGGGCTTCTCAGATAAGGGCACTGTTAATCTGTGACTGAGAGATGCATAGATGTCTGGGAGGAGAAATGATAAGGCAGGAGCAGCGATTTTCAACCGGTGTGGCGCGAGAATTTTAAAAACATGGAATACCTGACTATTTAGTCAGGGATACTGACCTCTTACCTTAGATTGTGAAATTAAAAAAATAACAACAGCCCTGGCTGGTGTTGCTCAGTGGTTAGAGTGCCGGCCTGCACACTGACTGGTCAAGGGTTTGATTCCTGTCATGGTCAAGGGTATGTGCCTGAGTTGCAGGTTCCCTCCCCGCCCCCAGTTGGGGGATGTGCCCGAGGCAATCAGTCGATGGGCTCTCTCACATCGATGTTTCTCTCCCCCCCCTACTTCCCTCCCTTGCTTTACTTGGCCCGAGGGCCAGACACTTCCCACCCCTGGACTAAAGGCTCAAGCAGAGACTCGCTCATACCTGCAGGTAACTGACAGGATAGATGATGCAGCTTAGAAACATTCCGTCTGGCTTCTGTGTGAATCGCTCTTTCCTCCTGGAGAGAATTACTTCACATGGCAACATCTGTGGCTTCCCACCCTCCACTCCACACTTACCTCCCATAACTCCAAGGAGGGGGACTCCCTGGTTTTAGATTCAGGTGGGGGTGACAAAGAAACACGTGAGAGTCAAGAGCAATGAGAAAGTCCTTCACACCGATGACCCCCCCCCCCGCCTTCATTCGGCCCCCAGAGTGGCAGTCAACTTGCTGACACTCTGCCCATGTAAATAAAAGTGTCAGCGCAGGAGGCTCCTGCTGTCACCTGGGTGCTCAGGTTGCCAGTGTGCCGAACATCTGGCTGGGCATGGCTCCTCCCTTCCGTAGCCAGCAGCCCAGGGTCACTCCAGCTGCAGTGGGCGAGGAGTCACTCTGCCCAAACAAGATGTGGGCACTGCCAGCTCCCTGGAAAAGTTCCCAAACGCTCATCTTACCTCCTTGTCCCGGGGCAGCGGTTCGAGCTTTGAATTGACCATTGGGGTCCTTCTGTGCTCTTCTAGGGCTGTGACTTTGCATAAGTCATTTCCCTGCTTAGAGCCTCAGCTTCTCCATCTGTAAAACTGATGTGACTCGCTCTAATGTTCCAGATACTAAATACTATATATACATATATTTCCTCCTCACGTGTAAAACTGCCCTAAGAGTGACATTTCAGGAGGAATAAGGAGTGGGGTACCTACTGTGTGTCTCATTCAGGGTCCCACCCACCAACCGTTCTGTAGGCCCAAGAACCTGCAGTCTGGGCTCCAGAAGTCATTTCTCCTTTGCCAATTCCAAGCCCGGGAGGACCTATATATAAGTCAGTGTGCTTGTCGGAGCTCCCCAATCAGGCTGTCACCTCCCTCGGGACAGTTTTTCACAAAACCCTTGTCTTATAGGGACTCTGGGTTTTTAGATCCCCCACCTCCCCAAAAAACAGGATTCATTATCTGACAAGAGATTTTGTTAACCTGCTCGGTTCACTAACTTTATGGGAAGGCTTCGGTTTAAATATTAACGGTGCATGGGTGTGCAGGTTACTGTGGGCCAGGACCTGTGCTAAATGCTTTCTGTGGTGATTGCACTGTAATTGTCCCCATTGGACAGATGAGGAAGCTGAGCCTAGAGAGGACCAAGGTCTGGTACTAGTTTAGAGAGGAGCTGGGATCAGTTTACCCACGTTCAAGTCAGAGTCCAAGCGTTCACCTTCTGTGATTGTTCAGGTAATAGACTGGCCTTGCCTGGGCATGGGACCCTCTCCCCAGCGGAGCCATGGTCGGTGTTTTCCCAGTAACTGGGAAGCTCCTGGCATTTTGAGCCCAGGAACGCTATACAGCCTTCTAGCCTCTGGATAGATGGGCCCAATACAGAACTGACTCCAAATACCCATTGTGAAATACTTAAGCATTTAGCGCAGGTCCTGGCCCACAGTGACCTGCATACCCATGCACTGTTAATATTTAAACCTAAGGCTTTCCATAAACCAAATGTCCTTATTGCATAGAGTTGCAAAGCCAAAATCACCTGCCTGTCCCTTGCAAGCTGCCAAGCAGGAAGGAAGCTGGACAAGGCGTGGCGCCTGTCCCCACAGGCTGGCCGAGGGTCCCCCACAGGCAGGGGAGCAGATAGAGGCAGCTGCACCCACCTCCTGAAAGAGGGAGTTTTGGAAAAGAGGTTGGACTTTGGAGACAGGTGAACCAGGATTTGAATTCTAGCTCAAGCTCTCACAGCTGAGTGAGCTTTGTTCATTCTCCTCTTGGGAGCCAATAGGGATAGCAATGCCTGCCTAGCAGACTGCCGTGAAGATTAGGGACTTTAGCACTGAGGTCAGGCGCATAGTAGGTGCTCTCTGAGTTCAGAGAAGGGCCCAGGTGGACACTGAAAGCTTCAGAGAGGAGGCAGAGCTGGGGCTGGGCCCTGCCAGGGGGATTGGATCGGAGGGCATGCCAAGCAGGGGTACAGCTTGAGCAAAGGTGGGTGATGTCTAGTCAAAGGCAAAGGATTGATATGTTCGGAAGAGGAGAGAACATAGAAACTGCAGTGTCTGGATTCAGGCCTGCTGCAACGTCCAGGCCGAGGAGGCATTGGGCCAGTGGTTCTCAACCTTCTGGCCCTTTAAATACAGTTCCTCATGTTGTGCCCCAACCATAAAATTATTTTCGTTGCTACTTCATAACTGTCATGTTGCTACTGTTATGAATCGTAATGTAAATATCTGATATGCAGGATGTGAAAGGGTCGTTTGACTGCCAAAGCGGTCGCGACCCACAGATTGAGAACCGCTGCATTAGACTCTACAGTGGGACCTTGACTTACGAGTGTCCCGACTAACGAGTTTTTTGAGATACCAGCTGTCTCTTGGCCGATTTTTTGCATTGAGTTGATAGAGTAATTTGAGTTAACGAGCTCGGTCTCAGAACGAATTAAACTCGGAAGTCAAGGCCCCACTGTATCTGGCATCAACGCAGGCTGCTTGGCAAGGCTGGTCCAACTGGAGGTGTGGCTCACGTCACAGTATTGGTCACTGAGGCATTTCCCTAGGGATCATGCACCTATCGGTCACCAGTCATGGTGACTTCTGGCCAAGAAGGTGGCCAGTAGCTGCTCAGGCTGATGGAGGCAGGTGTTGGGGAGGACACTGACCGCTGGCCACCAGCCCCTGGCCTGGCAGCAAGGAAGCCTGGGCTCTTAGGTGCCTGGGCAGCTGCAGTAGAGGGTCCTAAGGGTCATCTGGTGCCGTCCAGGCGGGTTTGGCCTCCTGAGCGCTTCCCCCCCATCCTTCCCCTAGCTGCCTGCATGGCTGCACTTCGCCATGGACTGATGTTTAATAATAATAATAGTGATGACATTGTTGAACGTTGACTGCCGGGCACCACGCTAAGTGATTTCATG